TCTTAATCCATCAATGAATGGGAAAAATTTCACTTTTAGAGTGGTCTACCCAAAGCCCAGAACTAAATCTTAGATATTTATACAATTCAATTCAATTTATTTATATAGCGCCAATTCACAACACATGTCATCTCAAGGCACTTTGCAGTTCAACCAGATCATACAGTCAAATTAATTCAAAGTTTTCTATCTAAGGAAAACCAGTTGATTGCATCGACTCATTGACTCAAATACAATCCCTCACACTAAGCATGCTTGTAGCAACAGTGGAGAGGAAAAACTCCCTTTTAACAGGAAGAAACCTCCAGCAGAACCAGGCTCAGTGTGAGCGGCCATCTGCTGAGGCCAACTGGGGTTCAAAGAGACAGAAGCAGAGATACGAAAAGCAGCTGTAAAAGGCAGCCCCGTCCAGGAAACACACAGCCAGGCAGACGAGCTCCGAGCCAGCTCCCATGTTAGAGGATGAAGAGAGCACATCCAGCCAGTCACGGTCAGAGAAACAGGACTACACTGGAAAACAGGCCGATCTATAGCATCTATACGCTTAATGCAGAGTACAGTGAACAAGAGACATGCCCCCTATGTTACTGTAATAGATTAGGTGAACTTTGAATGGTCAAGTTAACAGAGTACAGACAGAGAACACTAAATAGTTTAATGCAATCAATAAATGCTTTAACAAAGGTTTAGTTTAAGGGTGTGATCTCTATGTCACTATGTGTTTTTTTTTTCATAATGATTTAATTTTTAAATATTCATAAATGAATAAAAAATTGTAAATGATGAATTATGCTTTACAACAAAAACCCTTGGCATAAACATATTTAGTAAATTAAATGTCTAGACTTGAATGTCAATTTATATATGTATTCATATATGAATTTATGATGATGCTTAAAAAATATGAAAAACAATAGAATATTTCAAATATGTACAATAAATTAATGGTATATGAATTAAATGGATTCTTAAAAAAATTTGATTTATGCCAAAATGTTGCAGCTCTAATTGTTATAGGTGCTCAGTGTCATAAGAAGGAGATTTTTTATTTGCTTCAATAAAGTAGCTTTTTGTATTCAAAGTGCTTAATGACTAAAGTTTAAAATGTTTTGATTTCTTTGCTATATTGTGATTGTATTGTGTTGTCAACCCCTGACTAGTCCGTTTACAAAAACATTTGTGTGTTATTTCTTTATTTGCTCCTGGATACCCTCTCTCCTCTCAGCTCTATCTTAAAATCTTGGCAATAACAATAAGAAAAACTAACCAGTGCAGCACCCTGTTATATGCAAGGAAAGTGTCATCGGTTCTCTGCTCCAGGGCTGTTGTCTGAAAGGACAGTGTTTGAACACAGTTCACCAGAAGGACAGCATGCTTCTCTCTTTACAGCAAAGCTGCTACTGTGTGCCACATGGACTAGTGCTGCCTAAACTGGAAGTCACCGACTGTATATCAGCAATCGTGATGCTCAAAAAAGGTTAGGGGGTTCTCTGTATCTGACAGTTTGGTCTTAAAGTGGACGTGTACAGAGAAACCAGCACCTCCCCTTCATCATATGCTGGTTCTCTGTCAGGATGTTTTTAATCAACTTGCACATAGAAACTCCACTTCACATGAATGTTCAGAATGAGGAACCTGGGATGGTGGTGCAGCTGACAGAATGATCAAAAGCGCTGTTTTCTGCTAGAAACTAAAAATGAACATCACAAAGGAATCTAAATGTATAGAAAGAGGATGGATTCAGTTTTTTTTTAATCCTTTCTCTTCCCACTTAATGTTTTATTACATCTTTCCTTATTTGGATCTGCTGTATTTTTAACATTCTTTGCTTTGACAATTTTACAGATTTTTTCGAAGCACCTCTATTCAGGCTTAATTTCTTCACATGTTGATGTTTAAAAAAAGGTGAATCTTGGCTGCCTCTACATCCATCTACTCTGTCATGGTACCACAATCTGAGCATGTGAGAAGCTTTTGTCTGCATTATCGGTGAACATTTGGACTGTTCCAGCTTATTTCCTTGAAAAGGCATGTTGTATAATCATAGCATTATGGACACAAATGTCCACAGTGTTTTTTACAAAGCTTAAAATAAACATGATTATACAATCAGATTGTGTTATAGAACTACACTGAGATAGTGTTGTTTCTATTTTTTTGTTTTGTTTATTTTTTTGTTCAAAAAGGAAGTGTTGACTCTTTATTCATTTTAAAGCATAGGCTAATTTTTGTTTATATTTGCAGCTCATTAGCTATTTCTTTTGTTTTTCAAATGGAAGCTTCGGCTTCTTCTAGACCTTAAGGCAGTGAGAATAAGGAATATAAATAGATGTTTTTTTTTATTCAAAGCACATTTGCAGCCCCTATATTTTAATTCAAAGGCATTTGTTTATGGCTAACAGGTGGTGTTAGTTACCTTTCTCATTATTCTGTCTGACAGTTTTACAATCTGTTTATTTTTCTGCTTTAACTCAAACTTGAGATAGCGATTCTGTTCAGGACCCATTCCTAATCTTTTCATCAATGCATATAGCATAACGATATTCACCTTTTCATTTTCAGCAACAACACATTTAAGATGCAGTTGCAAAAATATTGCAATCTTTTTTCCCTTCTTAAGCCTGAGCACCCAGCAATAACCTGCCAGGTGTAAAGCTGCACTATATTTATCGCCAACTGGCAACATGCTGTGAAATAGCTATTTTAAAATCATCAACCAGCGATAACTGTTGCAAAAATATATATCTTCTGACATGCACTTTCTCTGTTTATTATTTAAAGGAATGCAACTGACATTTTTTTCTTTAAATTAGCATTTTTCATGTAAGATTATTTATCCAATTAGAAATAACTTGAATATGCTGTCATAGTTGCATGCAGGGGGTTTAAAACATGATGGAAATTCTTCATAAGCACATTTAGTCTGAAGGTGATTAAAAATGGCCTTTTCTAACAATCTGGTGAAAAATGGTAGTTTAGAGACTGGCTTATACTTGAAAAGAACGTTGAGGCCTCTTTTTAATTATTGGCTGCACAACCATGTTTGAATGCAGCTAAACGGTAAAGAGGTTTTTAATATGTGTAAGATACTAGACCCAGTGATGTGAATGGTCTCCTGAAAAAAGACAATGAAAAAAATATATCAATCAGAAAACTAAAAGAACTTATATTTGGGACAATTTTCTTTTAAACAATATAAGACACATGCAGCTCAAACGGCTTGAAAAACAGAAGAACACAGAAGGTTAATCTAAAGCAGGTTGAGGATTGGAGGACCTTTGTTCTGCAACTTTTTCAGTGGAATAAAAAGGAAGGAAGCTAAGACACAGGTTAAAAGAAGCTACCATGCAAACAGTGACACAAGATTAAATAACAGAATTAAAACTATTAAAAGAAGCTTGAGGTTTATTCCTATTTGCAGAGATCAGTTTTAATAAGAAGTCAGATCTGGCAGCCTTTACAGCCCCCTGATATCTGGAATAACAGTCATTTAGGATTCCTGAAGACATGGGCGTAAGGTTTGCATAGGGACCATAGGGACATGTCCCTACCAAAATTTTGGACCAACCTACTTGTCCCTATCAACAATTACATGTGAATAAAATGTTTTTAATGTACAATACAGCATTGTTGCAGGAGTAAAGGAGTTCTGGATGGAGAATATTGACAGACGAAAACATGTTTTATCTAAAATGCTATATTTTTTTTTATTTTTTTTTACAATTTTGGTATAATTCATGCTCTAAGTGGGTCGCTTTGTGAGCTAAAGGCATATTTTAGAGTCTCTATACTCCAGTTAACGATTAATTGATTACTAAATTTGTTGACATTATTTCAATAATTGATTAATCCAATGAATTGTTTCAGCCCTAAATAAAATACATGAAATGGGTTAAACAGGGTAACTACAGCCTAGATGTACAACTTGTAGAGTGAGGTTAATATATTAAATGCACAGTGTCAGTTCCTCTTCTAGCTCCAGGGCACATGTAAATACAAGGCATTTATTTGGCGTCCCTTGAGTCGATTATTTTGCTTTGTTTCATGATACAGAGAGAACATTTAAAAGAGTGGGTTTTACCTCTATTTACCTCTGCACAATTCTATATCTTTAAAATAAAAAAAGTATAAATCCACATATAACAGACATATTTAGACTATATTCTGTTAAATAGGCACAGATTTACCTACTGTCTTAGTCGCTAGTTATTTCAAATGCAAATCTTCTCAAAGTGGAAAAAAGTCCTAATTCCTCATTCATAAGAACCAGTTAAGCTTCAGTCATTGATAAACAGCATCTAGTGTGTGTAGTCCTTATAAAATTTGTATAAATGTAGCAGGAAATGCTGCTTTTCTCTTTAAACGAAATACACCCTGATTTTCCCTTCAAGCATAAAAAAACGAGCATGCATATTTTTGCATAGGACCAATGACATCAGACCAATAGTGTCCCTACCAAAGTTGAAATCAAACCTACATCCTAGCCTGAAGACACCTGGAGTTTGTCCTTCTCACCTTCTCACTGCACAATAGTTGTCCCGTCATTTATTTAACGCTGATCTATTATATTTTTCTGCCTCATTTTATTTGGAGCAACTGAGTTGGGGATACTAGAACACGTATCAAAAATATTAACCAGTTTCTAATTATTACTTTCATAAATGCTGCCTAAAAAAAACATCTTCTGGGTTAAATATGACTCACTTTATGTCTTATTTTTATGTAAAAATATGCTTTTCATGAGAAAACTTTTTAAGGTTCTGTAATATCTTCTATACCTACGGTGTCAAGTTTAATTTGTTAGTAAAAGTCTTTAACTTCTTAATTATGTAATATTTTTTTAAGTCTTCCTAATATTGTTTCTCCACCTGGTGGTTTAATTGTGAATCTTTCATTCTTCAGCAGGTTGTCATTTCTACTAACAGCTCTGTCCATAACTGTGCAGGATGACCATTTGATTGACATGTCCTCTCATGTCCTTTTCCTGCCTCCTCTCTCAGTGCTGGGCCCCATTCCTGAGCGCTGCCTGTGCCGAGATCTGGAGCTGTACTGTGACCATGCTCAGCTTGGAGAAATCCCTGTTGTGGCAATAAATGTCACTGAGATGTGAGTAGAAAATAACCCCTTAAGTTTGAGGGGTGTTTTTTTTTTTTTTTTTTTCTTAGCAGTTTTATAAAGATCAAGCAATTCACAGCAAGTCATTCATCAAAAGCTTTCACTGTCATATTTTAGTGGAAATGTTGTCATAGATGTCTGCCCTCAGAGAATTCACGTGTCATAGCTGTAGCAACTTACTACAAAGGAACAAAACAGCTTTACCTTGACAAATGTGTTCACTTTTTCTACTGTTTAATAAAATGACTTGTAACCGAGTCTTCGAGATAAACATTTGCATATGTTATTTTATTTTCTTCCTCATTGTTTGTCAAAGAAAGTGTATTTTACTAGCCTGGTCGGACAGACTGATACAACATAAACACAAAACATCAGTTTGGAAAAGAGGTGGTAGAGCTTGATTTCAAAGGTGGGAATAACAGGGTCACCGTCATCAGGTGATAACCAATCAGATAACTTCAGATGTGATGCAAAAACTGCAAGCGACACGCTCAATTTCTGTAGGGCTTCATAAAAACATTGCTCTGTTACACTCAGCATCTTGCTGTTACGCAATCAGAAAAGCAGAAAGGAGCTGAGAGTGACACATCGTAAATTTTCACCTCCAATGTTGTGATTGGTCGGGCCAAATATTGCTAGACTGAAATATGCCCAGTAATTAAAGCTATAGTGGAGGATCTTTTTTTTCCGGGTCGATCACCAAAATATGTGGTCCTCCTAATTGTCAATCATTCTGGTGAAATGTTTACGTAAGGCCGTCCTACGTTGCTAGGTAGCTTTCTTTTCCTGTGCATGCGCAATTTTAGGTGTATTTGTGTTGTGAGCGACAGTTTCAGCCAGTCACTGAAGCGTGCATTTCTCACCACGTTTCTTTGAAAATTGGCAATGAGCGTTGCAAACAGTAATTTCTAGTATTGTACAGACCTTGGTTCACTTTATGCAGAGGATGTTCATGCAGGGCCTAAACACAAGTTGGTTCATTTTGCTAATTAAAAAAATAAATCTTTATTTATTTGATTTCAATCTTAATGCAATTAAAAGTGTTTTATTTATACTCCAATTTCAAATTTTTTTAATATGAAAATAAATCATCCCTGACTTCTCGACAGGGAACTGACTTTATATTATCCTGTGCAGCTGCCTTATTAAACTGCATGTGATATGAAATGTCTAAGAGGGAATTTTGAGACATATAGAGGACCCAGTTGGGGCCATGAAGATTGTTCAAAAAAAAATTTTTTTATGGAAATTAAAAAAACATTATTTAAAACTGACAAAAACACAACAAAAAGAACAGTTTTCAAAGGGAAAGTATTTTTAAAACAGGAAAAAAGGGAATTGAAACTGAAAAGAAACTTTTAGAACAACTTTTTAGGCTCAAGATTCCTTTGTTTCCCTGCCTTGTCTTTAAAGCATCGATGACAGTTTATGTTTATGTGACTGTTTTAGATAATTAATATGCTTCCCATTTTTTCTCCTTTTTTTCTGTTTTTCCTTTCCTGTTCTACTTACATTGCAGTGTCCATATAATCTGTAAAACTCCCTTCATAATTATAATAAAGCAATTTATATGCATGAAACAAGCGGAACACTATAGCGATAGCCGCACTGCTCCACTTGTGAAAGTAAAATCTGTTGGGCTCTTTTTGGCATCAAGACAATTATTCTTATTGCCACATTGCCAGACAGGACCCTTAAAAAAAAAAAAACATAAAAAATGCAGGTGGACAAAAAATATTTTAGAGATAAAGAAAATAATAAAGATAAATCAGGAAGAAGTCTGCATGTGTGAGTGCTGCGCAAAACTGAGATAAAGTTATTGAAGAAGCCTAAGATGGAGAAAAACCCCATAAAATATAAATAAATGATGAGGCAGCTATTTTTGCACATAAATGCAGTGCAGAAGATCAATACATTTTAAAATAGTTTCTTTCTGTCATCACAATCCCCAAAGACCAAAATCCTATAGGTAAACACTACAATCTATTATGAGAAACCTGAAAAGTTGAAGTGGACATTTATTTTGTTTCTGTCAAAGCTCTCTAACGGTCCCAGCCCAGCGTTTCAATTAGGTTAAGGTCAGAGGCTTGACGAGGTCACATTTTCAGACATGATTTTAAAGTTGCTGCTGTTTTTTTAAGGTCATTTTTCTGTTTGTGACCCAGTTTGAGCCTGAGCTCCAGTTGACAGACAGACCTCAGATTTGACCCGAGAATATTTTGGTATACAGGGGGGGTTCATGACGACAGCAGTGTCCAGATACTGTGGCTGCAAAACAAGCTCAAATCATTTTTAGTCCCCAGTCATGGCTGACCATTCCTGCCAGGTGTGTTGCTTATGCTTTTCTCCAGATGTGAAGCTCTACTTAACAGCCAAATGTCTCTACTTTTATTTATTCTGGCCTTACAAATTGTTTCCCCATATAACAATACAGTTTAGAATATCCTACTTTTTGGGATAGAAAACAGTCGAAAAAAAATTGTAACGTAGAACAAAAAATCGGCATGTTTTTTAAACAACTTTCTGCAATTTTAAGTCCAAATTGGAGATGGGTATTTTTATGTGGCCCCTCTTCAGTGACTACCTCTTAGAAAAAATTAAAAACAAAGCTACAGTAGTATTGGGAAACAAAGTTTAGCTGTGTAAAATGTAATAGTCATATATATCCAGCTGTTATCTCAAGGCCTTAGAGGTTCGTTAGAAAATTATGACCACGGCAGACAGGATACAAAGAAAGTTTGGATTAGAAAATAAATGCATATACAAAGCCTGTTAACATATGACAGAGTTACCTAGTGCTAGCAAATATCGCTGCACAGTTCGTAACAACTGCAAACCTACTTGGACACAGTCATCCGCCTAAAGGTAAAAGACTGGCCAAGCAAAGTCTTAATCAGAATGTCAATGGAGACTCTGAACTTGCTGCATTTGCTACTTATGGACCCACAAATATTTGCAAAAAAGTGCCAAACAAGGTAAAGAAGCCTTGAATTTTGACACAAACCAAAGGCGAGATAGCAAAGATTGGAAAAAAGGTGTTGATGGTGGTCAGAAAAGACCTAAGTCTTTTAGCCCTGCAAATGAACACTGAGTAACACTTTTAACATGCAGCAGAAGATTGTAGAGAGAGAATCATGCTTTTCTTTAGCTGAGAAAGATGAAAAAGCAGAGAAGCTTTTCAAGGTTGATGGAAAATGGTGTACATTCTGCATGTGGTAAATAAAGGAAATAAAATCATGGGACAAATCTAATTTCAGTGAGATTTTATTTTAAAAAGTATCAATACAAAGGGGCAGAAAACTGAATTCATGTCGTGTTTTTCAGTTTTGCATTTATGAACAAAGCAAAGACAACACTCTTAGCTCTGATCTCTGTCCACTAGACCTACATTTGTGATCAAAGTAATAATAGCCTTTTAAAGGAGTGAGTAAGCCACAAAGCCTCCCTAAAATAGCTATGATTACCACACAAAAATGTGTGAAAGAACGTTCCCATTTTGTTGTCATCTATCCATGAAACCTGAAGCATAAAAAGGAAATGAAAATGTTGGAAAATACAGTTTATTAACTCTAACATTACAATAGGAATTTTAAATGAAAATGTGGCCTGTTGGACCATTCCTCTATAAGCTAGTCCATTTGTTCTCATGCTAACTGTAAGTAGGTTACCTTATTAACAGTAGGACTTTGGTGGCTTATTTCTGACAGCTTGGCTTTATGTTTGCATCTTCTCATCATTAAAGAATATTATGATAACTTTAAACCTTACTAGATCACAATGGAACTCATCATTAAATGTTAATAATAATTTTAGCTTATATATATATATAAGCTAAAATGCAACATATATTTTTATCAAATATATGTTGCATTTTGAATAATGTATTTGAAAATATTCTAGAAAAAAAATGCACTTATTGCATAAGCTTTAATAACTGATACCTTTGTCCTTAAATAAGTGCCACTTGTTTGACACCGGATGTGTCATAGAAAGAGTTCACTAATTGAACTTTGCATTGCTGTTATTTGGAACATGCTCCTCTTATATTTCACAATTCCATCATATATACTCAGCTTCATAAATGTGATGTTTGTCAGATCTGCTGATGTTCTATGCTCAACACACCCACTGGAAAATGTGTATTGAAGTATAACTGCTGCCAAATACAGTAATTGACCTGTTTGCTCTGTTGGACTGTGCTTATTTTGAAAAAGTTGAGAATCCACTGATTTTTGTTTGGGTTTTTTTTTTTGAGCAGGTTAAGGGTGCAATTTTCTCTTTTCAACCTTTGTAAGGTTTTTTTTTAATAGCTGAGTCTGTATCTTCAGGTTGTGAGGGGCTCTCATACTGGCCTTGTCACACATTTAACAGATGTTGAATGCAGCCAAGAGCAACAGAGCGTATGTCTTGGTCCACGCAGCAAAATGCCATGCAGAGCAAGTATTTTTGCAGGAACAAGCAGAAATGTAGGAATACCTCAGCTGGGCTGAAGCTAAAAGCTGGCAAACAGGCAGTTCTTTTATTCGTTCTTTTTTTGTGCAGACGACATTGTAGTGGAAATCTTTTGTATAGAATAGTATGGTAACAGATATACTTTTGTGTTGGAAAATTAAAAAGATAAAACATACAGTATCAAGTGTGAATTCCTATTCGATAGTGCTTCAAGATATAGATATGTTCATTCCGTCCATAACAGAAGCATGTCTGTTGATGTTCTTTGTGCAAAAACCATTAAGATGCTGTGTAAGAGTGTCAGTTTCAAATTTGCTGCCGATTTTGAACAAGGGGACCAAAGAACATTGGGTTCTAATTTCCCCAAAGTCTATTAACCTACCACCTCCAAGAGCCCGGTATAACTGCAAGTAACGAAATGACAATTTAATCATGTTTTAATCCGTTAAAAGCTCTGAAGGCAACAAAAGAGTGAACTGGAGGATATCAAGTCTCTGAATAAAGCTGAGTTTATAAGGCATCTCAGCCTCATTCCTTGTGTGCATTGTTTACGGAGTTATGGGCTTCTCACTGCTAAACAAGTGTAAAAAAGATGTAAGAGTTCATTATTTATTAGTCTGTTTGTGCTTGTGTGTGAAAAATCATTTTTTAATGTCTGCTTGCCTGAGGTATTACCCTAGCCTATTCAAAGGGCATATGTATACTTTAAAAAAAGGGGGGCCTTTGTGCCAAGAATGTGAAATGAACATTGTCTCTTTTTTAAATGGATATACAAAAAAAAATCCTTTCATATTAATCCTTTTTAACGCAAGGATAATTTTAATCTCAGTTTGAATAGTTATTGGAATTATGTTTTGCATTTTGCAGAAGGTCATATAGGAGACCCATCAAACATGTATTGGAAGGTACTCTAATCTCTAATCAGATGAGACTGCGAATTGCTTTTTCTCTTACAACAAAGCAGAAAACTAAACAGCTATACCCCATATTACCTATGTAATCTAAGAAAATTTACTGCTTCTTATTCCCTGTTTTCGGATCATCAGAATCTGTTAATTGTTCCACTTACCAGATTAAAGACAAAGGATGGCCGAACCTTTCAGTCCACAGCACCAACGCTGTGAGACAGTTTGCTTGACACTGTGGGACCTTTTAAAAGCTATCAAGAACTTTGTATTGAAAGGGGTCTTTTGTTTATTTGATTTCTTATTGTGTTATATATTGTCATTTTCTTCTTTTTATTAGTTGTTTTTATTGTTGTTTCAGTGGTTTTCTGTAAGCAAAGTGCTGGTTTTGTCAATAAAGGGCACTTAATTAATTAATCCGCTGTACTTACTCACTTAAGAACTTACTTAACTGAGACAGAGCTCCACCCACTAATCTCTATTTATTCACTGGATTGCTGATAGGCCGTTGGTAGTACAGGGTAGACTGAAGTCACCAGCCGCCATATTGGTACTCCCTACTTAGACCGGTCGCAATGTAAACAATATATGTGCAGCAGCATCAAACAATGTTTATTTTCTCATTTTCAGGGGGGGCTTAAGACTAAAAATAAATCCATCACAAAGACATTAAAGTGATGCTAAATTGATGATGTACATGTATTATACATGTATTAATTACGTTGCTATGTTAATTAAATATTACATATGATTTCAAGATTGTATATCAAGACTGAATTACATGTACATGTCTCATGCATGCACATTTGCAAATTGTGCATGCATGATGACTTATACTTTTATGCTGTGTCAGTGCATTAGCCTTTAAATCTGACATAGATGTACAATAGAGCTAAATTAGTGAATCGATTTAATAACTCCGCAGAGCTTCAGTTTCTACACTAGCAAATTCACATAATTGGCAAAATAACAGGCAACATCAAATTCATACTTTTATTTTTTTAATTATAGTTGCTACAAGATTCTGACAATTTGCATATACTATACATGCAAGTATGTATTCACAAACACACACATACAGTATCCAGTGATTGAATACCTTTATAACATAACTTGCACATTTAGTGTAAATTCACATTCAAATATACATAGACATTTTTTTGTCAATGTAACATGCAATATGACACATGACTCTTTCAAATGGAAAATATGCCAAACACTAGAAAAATGACAGCATTATCCATTTAATCAAAAATTACCACATTGACATGCCACAGTGAATTACTTTCCATTTACTCTACTTTTGATTTTCAAACCTTAGCCACAGTTTCGAAGCTAACTTGGTCAATGTCTTCAAATCGGTCCGAGATAGCCAGACTAATGTTATGATAAATACTGTACTATAGGATACAGCGGCGTATTTATCGATTATCGTCCAAAGGGCCTTGTTTCATACATTTTACCAGGGCAGGAGAAACAAATGACTGGGAGATGCGGGCAGAGCTAAAGAAGCAGCTCAAATTCCCTGAGGAGATAGCCCACACTAGCCTGAGACCAGACATTGTTCTGTGGTCTAAAGGTACCAAGCAGGTGGTGCTCATTGAGCTGATTATCCCCTGGGAAGAGAGGATGGAGGAGTCCTATGAGCGTAAGCTCAATAAATACCAAGCCCTCATCCTAGAGAGTCAGCAAAATGGATGGAAGACCTGGAAGACCTCCCCAGTGGAGGTGGGCTGCAGAGGCTTTGCTGGATGGTCACTTTGGAGAGACCTTGGACTACTGGGAATTGAAGGGCTGGCCAGGAAGAGGCTTGTAGCCAACGCCACTAAGCGGGCTGAGGAGGCATCTCGCTGGATTTGGATGCAGCGCGAGGTGCGCTGGCAGAACCGAAGCACTGAGTAAACTGAAACTGAATATAGAGTTGGGTGGCATTCAGTAGGGGTGGGTCCAGGACGCTGGATGTGCCGTTGAGCCCCTCCGAGGTGTCATGGGCTTAAATCAACGAAATATCAGTGAAGGGGGGTGCCCATTTGACAACCTGCTGAACCTACCCAACTCCTATTCCAGTCACAGAGACCTAGTGGTGCCTTGAGGGAAGGAGAGAGAGAGCAATGCCACTGGCCCACAGATGGTGCAGGGGCAAGTACCTGTAAAGGTGGGCCAGTTGCGATATCCCTTATCATATTTTGCATATTCTTGGTTAATACATCCACTAACCTTTGAAACGTCTTCCCAGAGCCAGCAAAGTGCTTGTTTTTGCAGCTAAATGCTACACAGGTAGGCATTTTTATGGTGAGAGTGGGGAGTACCAAGATGGCGGCAGATGACTTCACTTTTTCGGGCTATCAGCAACCCAATGAATAAATAGAGATCAGTGGCTTCACCTAGAAACAGCACAATGTTAGAATGGCCCAAAGTCAAATTCAACCTGTGGTAAAATGTCAACACAGTGGCTCACAGATGTTTTCCATCAAAACTGACTAAGCTTTGGCTGTTTAGCAAAGTAGATCAACATTTTGTTTATCTTGCTGTGCAAATCTGAAAGAGATGTACTTCAAATTTGAATGGCAACAAATGCTGGTTCTTTAAAGCAATAATCAAAAAGGGAGTAATCTATTTAATAACAAATGTGCCCTATTTTTATGTTCAAAACGTCAAAATCATGTTTTATTTTCCTGCCACTTTGCTTTGAGTTGGTATGTCTGATGAAGGCCCTGCAGAATATGCTGGAATTTGTGGTCTATAAAGTTGGCTGCAAAATAACCTATTTCTGTAATGTGATCATAATTCCTGCATTTCTCATAGGTCTTTGCAAAAGAACAGACTTCAGAGACTGAAAGCAAAAGGATTCTTCATCTACCAAAGCCTTCAGAAGTTGTGAGTTTTTATGATCTGTTTTGTCTTTCTCCATCATTTTCTATGTGCAGAAGATACAACAAAAGACTCAGAGGACCATAGGGCCTGCTGGCAATGAAGCTTTATGTACAGAAGCTGACTTTTGTTATTTATCAAGCTTGTACAGCGTCCCTGAAGATGTCAGAGCGAGGACAGGTCTGATTCTTTGCCAGATTCAGTTTGGCTGCTTTGGACGGTTGGCCCTCTGTTGGTTTAAACAGATTGTTTATTATTCAGTATTTACATGTACCACATACTCAGACACAGCTGTTGGTTGGAAAATTAACTATAGTGCTGAAAATCACCATAACATTGTATTTGTAACACTTGGTTTTGACATGTTACCCTTGGATTTAGACCTTCCTTTATAGATTTAGAATTCCTTCACTCTACAAGCACAAGCAAATTTTGGTTTTGCAATGCTGTCTGTTTTTGTTTCCTCATTAATTCATCACCCTCAAGATGCTCGTGTGCTTCTTTTGTAGATATCTACAGCACAACAATATTCAAGATGTGAGTCCCGATGCTTTCAGAGGGCTTCAGAATTTAACAAGGCTGTGAGTAAAGCAGATTTGTTTTAGTCCCAAGACAATCAAGCCTGTTTTTTTTTTCTTTCTGTTTTTGTTTTAGAGCCAAATGAACACGAGGACCTGATCAGAGCTCCTGTATAATTTTATATTAGGATTTGAACCTGGCCCATCCATTGTAGGGAGTTTTTAAGGGTATTAAACATATTTTTATTCAGTTAGGTCCTTGGAATACCCATTGAGGGAAAAATCTAACCCCCAATTTCAGCTATGTCAATGTATAGCCAGTATATTATGCAGTAGCCAGTATATTAAAGCACAAATCTAGAAAAAGGAAGCAAATAAAAATGATCATAAAACAATTTGATTTAATAAGAATATTTATTCAAAACAGAGACAGAGGAATAAATAATGTCAGTTTAAAAGGTTTGTTGAAGAATATCCTTGATGTAAGACGCATAATTAACAGAGTACCTCTACGGTAAGTCATGGCTGTATACAGGTGAAACTGTTGTAGGATGACTTTGTTTCTAACTAGATAAACCCTCTGAATATAGATTGGCTCTTACAGCGCAATTAAACGTTAAAAATTGAACCTCTAGATGGGTGCATCACATGTCTCAGTGGTAAAGCAGCCATTCCAATCCTCTGCTCAGCTGTCCTGGGTTTAATGTTTAACTCCAGGCTGGTTGATGCTTGCAATCCCATTTTCCTTTTACCCTTGTCAGATCACTGATGTATAAAACCAACAGCTCCACTAATAAAGAAAAAAAATGAGTTAGACTTTTATCTAGCACAGCTAGTCATTTGCCACTGGTGAATTAGAGTCTGGATCAACACTGAGTGCTTTTTGTTCTTATTTTGTTTTGTGTTTTTTAGTTGTTTTTTTTAGTTTTTTGGTTGGTTGGTTTGTTTTTTTTACTGATGTTCAGGTGGGAGATTAAAAAAGAAGTATAACTATTTTCAGTTCTGATCATGTAACCCTGTGTCCTCTGAAGCAAGGTTTGCTTACAAACATTTTAAACAAATCAGAACATAATAGTTATTTTTTTTTACCTTTTTTTGTTTGACTGTAGAAGTTTTATATGTCTACCTTTAACTTTGCACCTTCAAAAAGCTTTTGTGGTTTGAAAAAGGCCTTCACAGAAGTGAGGTAGGAACTGAACAGTCCAGGTAGAGCTGGAAAGAATTGCTGTAACGAGTATAGGTCCAGGATGTCAACATCTGAATTGGTGCAGAACATTCTTTTCTAGTGACTGTAGATGAATGAGCAGAGCCGACATGTGGGCAGCAACACAGGCTGGTTTTCCCAGAGATAAGGAGACGAGTAAGGGAGGAGCAAAGCTAGTGGATGTTCAAAGGCGAAAAACTGAGCTCACAGGCTGAGGCCTGAGGCAGATGCAGAGCAGGGAATAACTCTGGTAAACAACAGAGATTAGCAATCAGGTAATCCCTCAAGTGAAAATGGTCCAACTGTTTCAGACCATACTGACTATATAGTATACTGCAGGAGTTGATTGGTTATTCTTTTCAGATCAGAAGTTGTTTGCTGGATGTTAGGATTATGTTTATTTTTGTTTATCTCTTTAGATTTTTCTTTGATGTCACAAAAGGATGTTTGTTGAGAAAAATAAAAACACACATCTTTAACTCAAATAGTAAATGAACCTGTTATACACCATTAAAAAGACATCTTGGCATTCAGGAAATGTGTAAAGGCACAGTTGACTTAAAGTGAAAGGTTGCTCAACTCTGGGCCTTCAGGCCTGGTGTCATGGTGCACATTTTAGAATGCAATCCAGGATCCAGTAGGTCATAAACTAAAGGATGCCTTTCAGCAGTGTCACTCTATAGAGTGACGCAAGATAAACACCAATATGAATGGAGGGTGCAAATCAAGAAATAACCTCCTGCATCCAATTCATCACCTTTCAACAGTGATGGGACTAACGGCGTTGAAAGTAACGGCGTTACTAACGGCGTTACCTTGTTTTAGTAACGAGTAATCTAACTAATTACTTTGACTGTAACTATAACGCAGTTACCATTGCAGACACCCCGTTACTGCGCGTTACTCAAGTCGCACAATGAACCTTTTTTCATGATAAGACTCGTGCGCAGCTGCGTGAAGCTGACACCCCACCCACGTCAAAAAACTCTGCAAATAGACTGAATGGTTAGTGCAATGTTAGTGCAGATTTGTGCAGAAAAAAATATTGTTTGTGCTACTTTTGTTTAAGAGATATTAAAGATTATTTTTTTAGGTCATCCAGAGGTGCGCGCCTTGTCATGAGAGAGGGGAGGATGAGATGAGGGTAGGTGGGTGTTTCTGCTGGCGGGTGTTAACGTACAGCACACACAGAGAGATGGAGAGTGAGGATGACTCCAGCAGCAAAACAGCGTTTTCCTGATGGAAATACAGGTGTTACGTCGAGCTGCGTTTCCCCATCAGATACGGTTTCCTCTGCATCTCCGCACAGCGCAGGCGGCACCAGTCACCGCGCAAGCGACAGGAAACGCGCATGCTCGCTAAAGGCGCGCAACAGTCGCCCTGTGCTCGCGCCACAGGAGAACTATGGAGAGCGTGAATGATCAAATGATTAACCTGACAACAGCCAGAAATGATAGCCTATATGGAGAAAGGGAGAAATCTGGATGGATGGATGGATGGATGGATGGATGGATGGATGGATGGATGGATGGATGGATGGATGGATGGATGGATGGATGGATGGATGGATGGATGGATGGATGGATGGATGGATGGATGGATGCTCTGACTTTTCAACCTACTGTATTTTTTATTTTAAACATTATTTGATGGCCTTTGTGGCAGGGATGGAGATCCATATTTTATGTCACACACAGAGTATACATCTAGATAGATAGATGGATAGATAGATGCTGCAGTATCTATAACAACCCAAACACACAGGATTTCAGAATTAGACATCCCCAGTTATTAATTTCACCAGATCGGATCGCCCTGTTAAAAAACTTAGCATGGCGTTCCCCCCTGATGTCATTTACATTGAGTTGCAATAAATGCAAAACTCTCTGCAGGTTCTTGTCTTTGTCGTCCGCTCTATTAAGCCGGCTTTGGAAACACACCGCGAGAAGGTGGGGGCCGGGTGGTGAGGGTTACGGGGGCGAGAAACGCAAAAGTAACGCAATAGTTACTTTTACTAGTAACTAGTTACTTTTATTGTGGAGTAACTCAGTTAGTAACTCAGTTACTTTTTGGGAGAAGTAACTAGTAACTATAACTAATTACTTTTTCAAAGTAACGTGCCCAACACTGCCTTTCAAATGAGTAAAAAATTAGTAGCTTCCTGTTTCCACAAACGTTTTGATTATTCTGAACTTATTCGGGTAGGTAAAACTCGGTACCCATGAAAAAGCTCTATGACTTAAGCCCTTGTGACATTTAGACGGCATATGCCTGATGTCCTAACCCTAACCCAGAATCTCCTAAAATGCTGGCATGTGCACAGCCTAGCTTATGCATAACGCATGGCAGCATAATGCCGAGATGCTTGTGCATCATTTCATGGGCATTACGAAGCATCACTTAAAGCTGCTCCCCTCAGGAGCAGCGATGAGCCCGGAAGAGCCTGGTAAGCATAAAAAGACGTTGTTGATAGCGGTATTAACCTAGCTGCTGTTTACCACCCATGGTCGGGGCCATGGGCGTGAACGCAGGGGGGATCCATCACACTCACCTTCTCGCTCAGCCTATGATGGGGATGCAGACTGGAGGAATACAGATGCTTTCCTCCTGTGAACCCCCTTTTATACCATAACGCAGCCAATATGCCATTATACAGTAGTTATAAGTTAGAAAACACGTTCAGCGGTCATCTGGAACACGTCAAATACGTTGATATGCCTTGGAGATAAGTTCTTGATAAGTCAGGCATAAGTTATACACAAGTTACTCATAGGTTTTAGATAAGTTAGACTTAACATATGTCAATGATCATATAACTTACCTGTAATTTATGGTCCATGTATGACATTCCCTGGCATACGAAATTCAAAATACTTGCCGCATGATGACGTGTGTCAGCATGTTCATAGCTTATACAAAATGTACCCACAAGTTATTGAACGTATGCCAGTGTTTTTGCCAAATTTTTCATATATATATAAAAAAAAGATATATATATATATATATATATATATATATATATATATATATATATATATATATATATATATATATATATATATATATATATATATATATATATATATATATATTAGTGGTGGGCCATTATCAGCGTTAATGTGCTGCTTTAAACAAAATATCCACGTTACTCTATTCTCAAAGTTAGGCTTGGAGCTGAGTCTACATTGATGAAGACTTTCTCCTTAATATTGTAGCGTGTTTGCCAGCAGTTAGTAACTCTCACTAAATCTAAGGTCCAGCAACGATGCTCTTTTTTTATGCAATGCAAAATACCAGGAAATGCTTGTTCCCGTATATTCAACTGGTGAAACGTTCTCCCAATGGTACCAATGTTCACACTTAAGGCTGATTTATACTTCGAAACCAGGTCGTCTGCGTGTGTGTCTCAGTGAACACAGAGGCGTCCCCGTCCCTTCCGCAGACACTCTGCTGCAGCTCTCCCAAACTGTAGGTGACTACAGACAGTGCCGCAGACAGAGGCCTCTGATTGCTTAAATCTACATCCGCTCTACACTATGCGTATCTCCCGTTTGGTACCTTACCGGCTTGTTTTGTTTATTTGACTCATGAAGTTGGACTAGAAGAACGCGGTGTGCGAGAACGCTGGGACTCTTTTCCACCTGTATCCCTGCTCTTTTTGGCCCTCATGTCCTTCCGAAAAAACTTGATTTTCCCCTTTTGTGAAGTAACATAGCGCAGACCACGCTTCAATATTGAGCATAAATCAAAAATGTCTGCATCATACCTGCGACAAGCTCACTGCGACACACTGCTGCGGGAGTATAACCAGCCCTTTAAAGCTGCAACCTCCAGAACATAATGTTAGCTTAGTATGAACAGACTACCAATATAAACAACCCTCTTTAACCTCTCAAAACATTTACAAATAATAATTCAGAATGCATGAAAATTACACTGGTAAAATGTTTACCAATATAGACATGTTAGACATCGTTGGAAAGCTTAGATTCTCCACAATTCAACAACATAGTTCATTTTATGGACACAGTGAGCACCAATGCACAATTATAGCAGATAAGACAGCATGTCAAAATGTACCATGACAAAGCAGCCACAACAAGCAGGCAAGCTCATCTTTATAACTGCTGTTCAAAAAATACCTATTTTCAAGAATGAAAAAAATAACTTTAAATCTTTTTTAAACTGATGCAGCTTGGGTGTTTTACTCAACCAATTTTCATGTATATATTCGGAAACTAGAGGGGGATTACCTTTCAAATAATGTATCCCACATGAAATTCAAGCTTACAGTTCCTGAGTTATTTGCTTTTCCATTTGGGTATGAGAATTTCCTAAAATGAGGTTGATATTAAGAGGTTAACACAAAACTAGGATAAAATGGCGATGTTTTCCCCATCTTGACATTACCCAGCAGCCCTTGCTGCTACTCCAGCCTCACAGGACATTAAAATGACTGCCTGAGTGACTGGTGGAAAAAGGAGAAATAGAGCCATGACCTAGTATGTAGGCTGTCAGTTCAGAATTTGTGTTTATGTGAATAAACAGTTATTAAACACAAATATATTTTATTGAATATTATTTTTTTCATCACCAGTTATCATTGTAGAAAAGCCTTTTCAAGCAGTCTGATCTCAATCTTCTTTTTCTCTCTTCTGTAAACATTAATTAATAATAAAGTTATTGTTATTCTGATTCAAATGAGCCATTTTAATCTAGATTAATTCCAAGATCACAATGAGATTAATCTAGATAAAAAAAAGTTATCTATGCTATATTCACATGTATATCCACTGATATATATATATATATACTACCGTTCAAAAGTTTGTGGTCACCCAAACAATTTTGTGTTTTCCTGAAAAGTCACACTTATTCACCACCATACGTTGTGAAATTAATAGAAAATAGAGTCAAGACATTGACAAGGTTAGAAACAATGATTTTTATTTTCACATCAATCTTTGCTTTCGTCAAAGAATCCTCCATTTGCAGCAATTACAGCATTGCAGACCTTTGGCATTCTAGCTGTTAGTTTGTTGAGGTAATCTGGAGAAATTGCACCCAACGCTTCCAGAAGCAGCTCCCACATGTGGGATTGGTTGGCACTTCTTGTGTACCATACAGTCAAGCTGCTCACACAACAGCTCAATGGGATTCAGATCTGATGACTGCACTGGCCACTCCATTACCGATAGAATACCAGCTGCCTGTTTCTGCTCTAAATAGTTCTTGCACTATTTGGAGGTGTGTTTAGGGACATTGTCCTGTTTTAGGATGAAATTGGCTCCAATCAAGCGCTGTCCACTGGGTATGGCATGGCGTTGCAAAATGGAGTGATAGCCTTCCTTATTCAGAATCCCTTTTACCCTGTACAAATCTCCCACCTTACCAGCACCAAAGCAACCCCAGACCATCACATTACCTCCACCATGCTTAACAGATGGCGTCAGGCATTCTTCCAGCATCTTTTCGTTTGTTCTGCGTCTCACAACGTTCTTCTTTGTGATCCAAACACCTCAAACTTGGATTCATCTGTCCACAACACTTTTTTCCAGTCGTCCTCTGTCCAAAGTCTGTGTTCTTTTGCCTATCTTAATCTTTTTATTTTATTGGCCAGTCTCAGATATGGCTTTTTCTTTGCCTGAAGCCCAGAATCCCGCAGCCGCCTCTTCACTGTAGATATTGACACTGGTGTTTTGCGGGTACTATTTAATGAAGATGCCAGTTGGGGACCTGTGAGGCGTCTGTTTCTCAAACTAGAGACTCTAATTTACTTATCCTCTTGCTCAGTTGTGCAACGCGGCCTCCCACTTATTTTTCTACTCTGGTTAGAGCCTGTTTGTGCTGTCCTCTGAAGGGGTTAGTACACACCGTTGTAGGAAATGTTCAATTTCTTAGCAATTTCTCGCATGGAATAGCCTTCATTTCTAAGAACAAGAATAGACTGTCGAGGTTCAGATGAAAGTTCTCTATTCTGGCCATTTTGAGCGTTTAATTGACCCCACAAATGTGATGCTCTAGAAACTCAATCTGCTCAAACGAAGGTCAGTTTTGTAGCTTCTGTAATGAGCTGAAATGTTTTCAGATGTGTGAACATGATTGCACAAGGGTTTTCTAATCATCAGTTAGCCTTCTGAGCCAATGAGCAAACACATTGTACCATTAGAACACTGGAGTGATAGTTGCTGGAAATTGACCTCTATACACCTATGTAGATATTGCACCAAAAAACAGACATTTGCAGCTAGAATAGTCATTTAGCACATTAGCAATGTATAGCGTGTATTTCTTTAAAGTTAAGACTAGTTTAAAGTTATCTTCATTGAAAAGTACAGTGCTTTTCTTTAAAAAATAAGGACATTTCAATGTGACCCCAAACTTTTGAACGGTAGTGTGTATATATGATGTATGTATTTTTTTCTTCAGATATCTGAGCTACAACAAGATAACAGTCTTGATGCCTGGAGTGTTTAAGGATCTACACAGACTGGAGTGGCTGTGAGTTTTTTTCCTGTTTCCTGCATATCCCTCCTTTCACTGTTGTATTATACATCACACATTCCTCTACTGATGTAGTTTTATCCAAATCAGTGATCCAAAAAATGAGACATTGCAATCCTGTTTGTCTTTTCAGGATTCTTGAAAACAACAATATCCATCAGATATCTACCATGACATTTTCAGGGCTGAACTCTCTTGTTTTACTGTGAGTTTCTGCTTCAAAATTGTATATTTTTTCTTTCTTGTATTTTCATCTGGTGTTTTTTTTTCTTATTATTTGAAGTGACTGTTTAGAGATGCCACTCCTGTGGATAAAAGCAGAGGTATTTGAAAATGTAGAAAAAATGTGCTACATTGTTTTTCCTTTTGGTATCATTGACAGGGTTTTGTTGAACAACTCACTGACAAAGTTGGATGACATTTGTCGGGAAATGCCCAGGCTAAACTGGCTGTAAGTTGGATGTCACGGTGTATGTGTTTTTTTTGTTTTTTGTTTTTTGGGGGAGGGGGTCTTTCTATACATGCTCATTCTGTGTGCTCATTTTAAAACATTACCTTGCAGAGACTTGGAGGGAAATCTAATTGAAAAGATTGGAAATGCCTCTTTCCGCTCATGCACCATGTTGACAGTTCTGTAAGTGCAAATTTCCATAATTGAATCCGTAGCAAAGGTTTGCTTTGAAAATATTTATTTCTGACGTAAGCTTGAAAATCAAACATGGCTTCACTTAAAATCGATGCCACCTTGTAGCCAGAGCATGCAGTCAGTAAAGGCAGTTCATTAAGTGGAAATAAGAGGGTCCAGAAACAACAGTATAAACCATGTTTTGTGTTTATTGGCTTTTCTCAGGGTGTTGCAGCGAAACAGGATCAGCTATATACACGAACAGGCTTTCTCAGTCCTCCAAAAGCTCGGAGAACTGTAAGTAATTTCCTCATTTATTTTTGTTTTCTGATGGCAGGAAAAAACTTTAGGAAAGATGGAATTAAACATGTAAGAATGTGAATCATTTGTAAGTGGCGTCATGCAATGTGACTTCGAGATTTAAGGCCATTATCAAAACAGAGTGTTTTGAAGAAGTGTTTGAAAATGAAGAAAGCTGCATATTCTGGGGAAGGGCTGCTGAAAGGAACAACAAGATTTCAGGATCTGTCTAATGATATTGCAGCTATGATGAAAGCTTCACTGAACAAGCTCATGACTGCTTCATACTGAAGACCATTTGTGGTTAATTCGAGGCTAAGATGCTCGTTAAGATTTTCTAGTTCGTTAGGAGGAGTTAGTTTGTTGCCCTGAAATGTTTTTGCCACTGCAGTAGATATTTCATCAAATGACATTTGAACTGGATTTGTTTTCTCTACAAGATGGTAAGAAATGGCTGCCCTGAACTTTTGACCCCTCTTTTAGAAATCCTCTGATTTTCTACTTCATTGGCTTTTGTGCCTATTATCAAGTCTTCCTATAAAGTTTTTATTGAATTTCCTCCAAAGGTCTGTCGCCAGAGGATACGGTCATTGGCCTTTCCTTTCATATAAATACTAGGACAAAGTTCAAATCACTTCAGTAACACATTTAAGATGATTTTTAATTATATTTTTCTTATTGCCACTCAAGCACTTGTACAGTACGGATGGGTATCCTTTAGAAATTGTGGGAATAATGTGTCATAGAAGAGGTTTCTTTATACGTACAGGTTCATCTTAATGGCATTTTAGTTTCTAATCTGGACGAGAGGCTGTCAAAGAGCGATCACATGAAAATGAATGGAAGAAAAATAGGTCAGCGAGCAGGAACAGGAGAGAGAGGAGAAGCAATATGTGTGCATATTAAAGGAATAGTACACCCAAAACATGATTAGCCTTCATTTTCTACTCACCCCCATGCTGAACAAAACTCTGGAGTACTTTTTTGATATCTCAAATGCATCTGGAGATCTGGGAGGCTTCTTGCTGTCTGCTGATATTCAAATAATTGAGGTCTATGGCGCCCGAGACAGAAAGGTCCATAAAAGTCCACAAAAACGTGTCAATATGTAATCCAAGTGTCCTGAGTGGGTAGCGTCCATAATTTACTCGAAACGAAGTCATTTAGAACGTTTTAGAGCCTAAACAGTAGTGTATAGGATTTCCTAATAGCGCCCCCATGCGCGCTCACGATTCTACGGAAGCCGGCAGACCAAACCAGCGCATTCAGCTCGGCAAATAACTCATGCTCTTCCTCAACACTGAAGTCCTCAGACATTTTTCTTTCGTTGTTTCTTTCTTTGCACAGGTAAACAGAACATTTCTTCTTCTACGCTTGCATTATCGGCAGAGCAGACGCTGAATGCGCACTTTCTTCCGGTTTGGTCTGCCGGCTTCCGTAGAATCGTGAGCGCGCATGGGGGCGCTATTAGGAAATCCTATACACTACTGTTTAGGCTCTAAAACGTTCTAAATGACTTCGTTTCGAGTAAATTCTGGATGCTACCCACTCAGGACACTTGGATTACATTGGACGAGCAGTATGGAGGAATATTGACACGTTTTTGTGGACTTTTATGGACCTTTCTGTCTCGGTCACCATAGACCTCCATTATTTGAATGTCAGCAGACAGCAAGAAGCCTCCCAGATCTCCAGATGCATTTGAGATATCAAAAAAGTACTCCAGAGTGTTGTTCAGCATGGGGGTGAGTAGAAAATGAAGGCTAATCATGTTTTGGGTGTACTGTTCCTTTAAGGTTTTCCTAATAATCAATAACGTAGGAAAGAAATACATTTTTGGTCCCACAGAGGAGAAATTTCATTGTGAAAGTGGTAAACCAAGAAAACACAAGACTAGATAATATAAAAATGACACTGTTTTTTAAAATAAAGTTCACAGCAGAACAGAAAACTGCGGCCAAACACAAGGCCCAGCAGAACACATCCGCCGTCGATTGGAGGAGCAAGATGCACAAATTTATGGACAACCTCAGACTCTCCGTGAGTTATACTGTCTTGTGGAAACTAACAATCAAAAGCTTCAGAGCTATGCTAATTTCATGAACAGTGCTAACGCCACACCGGCAGCGCAACCTTTTCCGGGTCCAGTTCCCCCTCCGAGGTCACCAGCAGTGACGTCATCAGAGTTCCGCCCAAGCCTTCCTGAAAAATTCTCTGGTAATATGAAGGATTGCAGAGGATTTTTATTTCAGTGCAGATTATTGTTCCAGAACTCTCCAAACAGCTTTTCGACGGACTTTAAGAAAATAACCTTCCCTTAATCACTCCCATCCTTCACACTTTACACTGGCTGCCCATTCACGCCCGTATAGAGTACAAGATTCTTCTGCACACCCATCACTGTGTGCACGGTGCGGCCCCCATGTATCTCACTGAACTGCTCACACCACACACCTCTTCCCGGACCCGGTCAGGCCAACAGCACCGTCTGGCCCCACCCAGGACACGGCTAAAAACAATGGGCGACAGGGCCTTCGAAGCCGCAGCTCCCCGTCTGTGGAATGCCCTCCCAGACCACCTTAGGGCCCCACAGACGGTGGATTGTTTTAAGAAAGGACTAAAAACTTTCCTTTTTAGAAATTCCTACAATTGTTGATTTTAGATTTTTTTTAATAGGCTACGTATGCCTTTTAATGTATTGATTTTAATGACTGTCTTTTTACTCTGTTTTTAATGTTATGGTCTTTTAAACTTGTTTTGTAGCACTTTGAGATTTGAAATCAAATGTAAAGTGCATGATAAATAAAATTCATTATTATTATTATTATTAACCTTTATTCTCTCTCAACTAACAGGAAGAGCTTTGGAGTGGGCCCAGGCCAGATTTCCCTCATTTGAAAGTCTCAACTGCCGATACTCTGATTTCATTTCTGAATTCTCCCAGGTTTTTAATCAGGAAACTGATCAAACAATTGACTCTCGTGCTCTTTTCAGTATTAAGCAGGGAGATTCATCTGTGGCTGATTTTTCGATCAACTTCCGGGTTAAGGCAGCAGCTTCCGGATGGAATCAAAGTGCTCTGAAGGGAGCTTATTTCATGGCCTTAAATGAGAATATTAAAGACGAACTGGCAACTCTCGACGAACCAGCCTCCCTTGAGGATCTAATTAAACTAACAATTAGATTGGATAACAGAATTAGAGCCAGAAACAGCTCTAAGTTAAGAAATTCTGGGTCTCACGCCTCTACTTCTGCCTCAAATATTGTGACTGTTTCTTCTCCTCCCACAGACCGACCAAAAGCCCAGTCCCTCCCTCTGCCTTTTCAGGCTTCATATTCAGGTGGTACGGAGGTCGAACCTATGCAGGTGGGACACACTCGGCTTACTCCTGAGGAGAGACAAAGACGTTTTTTGAGCAGACTTTGCATCTATTGTGGTGAAAGTGGACATTTCATTGCTTCCTGCCCGGCTAAATCAAAAGGCAGGGCCCGCCAGAGGATCTGAGGAGTCTGGCGGGCCAAACCAACTCTAAGAAATCTCCTCGATTGATGCTGCCTGCCACCTTGTTTTGTAATAATCAGAACCTCTCTTTTTCTGCCTTTATTGACTCAGGCTGTGAACGGAACCTCATAGACTCTAACCTCGTTCAACAATTGATGATTGAAACTGTTCCTCTTTCTCAACCCCTCCGTGTCTCTGCCATTGATGGGAAAAATCTCCACCAAGTTACTCATCAAACCCAACCCCTCGAGCTCCTCCTCTCAGGTAACCATCGTGAAACTATCACATTTTTTGTTATTCCCTCCGCATGTTCCCCGTTGGTGCTTGGATTCGAATGGCTGGAGAAACACAATCCACGCATTAATTGGACTGAACGTCACGTGGAAGCATGGTCTACGTCATGTCATGAGACTTGTCTTCGGTCGGCAGCCCCCGTGGTGGGGCCTCCTAGGGGTGGGGGAGAGATGGACTCTCCTGACCTATCTTCAGTTCCCTTTGAGTACCATGACTTGGCCCCGGTTTTAGGTAAGGTCAGTGCTACGTCCCTTCCACCACATAGACCATATGACTGTGCTATTGAGTTGTTACCTGGAGCACCGTTACCCAGCAGCCGTTTATATAACATCTCCAAGCCAGAACGAGAGACAATGGAGAAGTATATTAACGAGTCTTTAGCTGCTGGAATTATTCGCCCGTCCTCTTCTCCTTTGGGTGCTGGTTTCTTTTTTGTTGGCAAGAAGGATGGTTCATTAAGACCATGCATTGACTACAGAGGGTTGAACCAAATCACCATAAAGAATAAGTACCCTCTACCTCTCCTAGCCTCTGCTTTTGAACCTGTTCAGGGGGCAAAAGTCTTCACCAAACTGGATCTGAGAAACGCATATCATCTCCTCAGAATCAGAGAAGGAGATGAATGGAAGACTGCTTTCAAGACACCATTAGGTCAGTTCGAGTACCTGGTAATGCCTTTTGGTTTAACAAACGCCCCCGCCTGCTTTCAAGCACTAGTGAATGATGTTCTCAGAGACTTTTTAAATGTGTTTGTCTTTGTCTATATAGACGACATACTCATTTATTCACGGAACTTAACTGATCACAAGAAACATGTCCGCCTGGTGTTACAGAGGCTACTGGAGAACAAGTTATTCGTCAAGGCAGAAAAGTGTGAGTTCCACCAACCATCAGTGACCTTTTTGGGGTTTGTGCTCGAGGGCGGGCAGGTTAAGCCTGCTGAGGACAAGATAAAGGCGGTTTTGGACTGGCCGATTCCTGAAAATCGAAAACAGCTTCAAAGGTTTTTGGGGTTCGCCAATTTTTACCGTCGTTTCATTAGAAATTATAGCCAGACGGCTCAACCTCTGACCTCTTTAACTTCAGTTAAGAGGAATTTTCAATGGACTCCCGAAGCTCAGTCTGCTTTTGACAAACTGAAATCTTTGTTTTCCAGAGCACCGGTGTTAATTCAGCCTGACCCTTCTAAACAGTTCATCCT